ACCACTTTACCTTAACGTCAATTTCATAAATAAGGAAGCCTAATGGTGGGGTTTTTTGGAACAACTTTAACTAAGCATCAGTTTCATGAACAGGGAAGCCACTTACTGATGACGGGTTTTTATGGATCAGTTTCCACTAGCAAAACCTCATTTTCTTTTACTTTTATCCATATCCATAAAGTCAGTTGTGCTTTAATTACTTTTGTTTGTGTGCGCAGTGTTGTCTTTTTCTCTTTACTGCTGTCTCCAGTCCTTGCCTCGGGTTCTTGCTTGACCTGCATCCTCGTTCGCTTTCTCTACCCTGTCCCAAATCCTGCTAGCAAACAAGATATAGACCCCTCTTCATTCCTACTATAACAGCATTGTTCAAGCAACCAGTATTTCACCTTCCCATACCCCAGGTATTTACGGTAAAAACCAGGAGCACACTTCCTCATCCTTTCCGTTCGTCACCGCTCCCCTCCCCCCTCCAAATGTACGTTACTTAGTCAGTCGGTAAAAGATCTACGCCATTTAGTCTTTGTATCCACCTTTCCCAGCCCTCCCTCTCCCGTCCCGAACGAAACCCGCCATGTATCAACCCCAATTCCACCTGCCGTCATGCGCTGTGGGGCAGCCCTACCTGCCTCGAGAGAAAAAATTTTTTGCGGTTTGTGTATGGGACAAGACAAGCTGAGTCGAGCCGAGTTATTGTAATTGCCAGTAACAATATCTATTGCCCCTAGCAAGTTACCAAGTGGCGCCGATAAGTGACGCCGCGAAATAGCGTTAGCATGGAGGTTAGGGTAACGACCGGGCCGAGTTTAGTTTGCCCTGTTCGATTTGCCTTCATGCCTCATGTATGCATACACTCGAATCTAGCACTAATGCATGTCTGTGTACACATTCTTACGCGGTCTGTTCAAACTAGGACGCTGAGATTTCGATAACTTTGAAGATCTTGACGACATCGACACTTTGAGGATATTGTGTCAACTGTCAGCTCTCTTACATGCGGTCCGTATGCTGAATGTCCGGTGACGCTTTTTGTCACCTTTTTTTCATCATCTTAATTTTCCAGCTCACTTCCGTACTTCTTGCGTTCCGTTCCTGCAGCATCTCATTTATCTCGCAGTACTGCTCATGATGTGAATTACATTATCAGCAGCGTCTGAATGAGTTAGTTGTTCTCTAGTGATACCCAAAATAACTCTGCAGCCCAAATTTAGAAATCAGTATCTCATGGCATGGAAAACAGTACGTGAAAATCTCTCATCTTTTATACACTCCGCAGCTTGTTCCTTGTTTAGCTTTTACTCTTATGTCTTCCATCAATATTGCAACAATTGGCAACTTTTCCTACTCAAGTTCGGTGCATCCAATAACTTTTTAAAATTTTTTGCATGAATCCCTCGCTAGTTCCTCCTCCCCCCTCCCCCTCAGTTCTTTTCAGATTCAGTAACGCAGTGCCGCTTTTGAGGGCTGTGGCACGAAAACGGCCTTCAGAATCCGTCAGATCGTGTTTCCGCGTTTCGTTGCAGTCCCAGGCTAATAATCTGACGAAAAGGAGGGGCTGTTTCTTGCTGTGCTATTTTCTGACGATTAAGCATTGTGTCTAGATTACTGCGCACCCGAACTTACGAACCTCCGCGCCGAACTCAAATCGAACCACTACGCACTCCAGCCAGGCCAAATGCATGCTGCTTTTGCTGTTTGCTCTAAACAGACCTGATCTCGATCCTGAAACATCGAAGGAAAGGGGAATGTCTAGTAAGATTGTTTGAAAACAAGTTTACCAAATCGCATGCCGGTTCCGGTATAGAAACACTCGGACCTTTTCGCTCCTCACGCTGCATGAATTTTCCCGATTCCTACCCCTGCCCTGTAGCTATACATGTAACATGAGACTCCGCCG